GCATGCTTAGGTCCCTCGTGTTCTGCAGGTCTCAACACACTTAGTCTTTCCCAAACATTTACCTAGAATATGTTCTCTCATTTCTCTTTTCTCACGTTGCCCTCTTGACTTCTTCATAGCATTTATTGAAACCCAAATTGCCATAATTTTTTATTTGTCTCCCCCCATTTGAACGTCAGTTCCATAAGCACAAGAACTCCGCCTTTTTGTTCACGTCTATATACCCATTGCCTAGACCAGTACCTGACCCATGGTAGGCACTTAAGAAATATATTATGCTGTAATATTTTCTCACGGTCTAGCTTCCACTTCACTAATTCTCTCTTCATTTGTGTCCAATCTGATGTTAAACCTGGTTACTGGGTTCTTAATTTCTATTATTGTATTTTTATGTTCTAGAAATCCCATTTGGTTCCTTTCTACAATTTCCAGTTCTCAGTCTTGTCTTATATATCTTTGAATATACTAAGCATTGCTCTTTGAGAGTTTAGTTGATAATTCCATGATCTGGATCTTCCATGTAATTGTTTGTATTATCATTTCTGTGAGGGCTGGGCTGTTGTTTCCTATTCACTCTCACTCCTCAGATGTAATCCTTCATGGTCACAACCCAAAGCCTAGTTGGGGGTGAGGGAATTTACCTTTTCTTAGTGGGTCTTGAACTATAGTTTTTCTACTTCTAGTCCCATACATTTGTAGAAAGCTCTGCACTTCGTGACTTCCTCTCACCAGTGGATTCTCAGTTCTTGTTAGCCAGGGCTAGAGGCCCCTAAGGTCCTACTCAGGTTTTTCCGAGGCTTGCAACAGGAGGTTTGCAACAGGAGGCCCAAAGGGAAGTGAGAGGGGGTTTTCTTTTACTATTTGGTATGCAAATTAGGCACAAAACAGACTAAGAAAAGGAGAGTAGGTGAGGTTAGAGCTGGGCTTCAGAGCCAACATCTAGATCCTCCAGGACGGAAAGGGACAGGGAATCGAGACTTCTGGGCAGCCCCATAGGTTACATACACGAATGTGGCTTCAGACAGACCTGGATTCAAGTTCAAATGAGACTAGCTCTACCATTTATTACGTGGGACAAGTCAGTGGGACAAGTAAGTTTCGCTACCTGCTGCCCCTCCACTAGCCCCCCTTCCATCCATCCTAGATTGACACAAACAACCCATCTGCTATATTCTTTACCCAAATCACAAAATACTAGGTCTGAAGAAACTTCCGAAATAATTCATTATAGTCTTCCTAGTTGAAATGAGAACGATGAGGCTGAAAGGAAACAGGCCTACTAGAAGCTAGACTCCCAGATTACTAATACAGTGCTCCTCTGTTTTCACGGAAATCTACTATCCCACCCCCAGTCCCAAATATGAATGTTCTGAACCTATGGAGCCACATGCAACCTTACCGCTAAACCTAATTCTATCCCAACCCTTTCTCTTTTAGCTCCTGTACCCTGCCCCAATCTTATTATTTTTATTTTTAATCCTCACCTGAGGATATTTTTCCATTTATTTTAAAAAAATTTTTTTCCATTGATTTTTTAGAGAGAGGGAAAGACAGGGAGAAATATCAATGTGAGAGAAACACATCAATTGGTTGCCTCCTGCATGCGTGGCCGGGGAGGAGCCTGCAACAAGGTACATGCCCTTGACCAGAATTGAGCCTGGGACCCTTCAGTCCGCAGGCTGATGCTCTATCCATTGAGCCAAACCAGCCAGAGCAGAAATAAAGTTCTGTGGACTGAAGGGTCTCAGGTTCGATTCTGGTCAAGGGCACGTACCTTGTTGCTCTCTCCATTGAGCCAAACCAGCTAGGGATTTTTTAAAAAAAAAATTATATACTATTTACTATGTGTTCACACATTTAAATGGGTTATATTGCACTTAATCCCATGGCTGTTCTTTTGTTAAAAGCTCAGAAAGGTACAGTTTCTGGCCTCGGGTTGCAGAGTTGATAGATAATTAAACCAAGATTCAATCCCCAGTAGGCATTACTCCAAGCCCGGGGCCTTGTGTACTGCCCCTTGTTTGTCTACCTCCCACCCCTTGGGATTTGTCTGGGTCCCAGAATGCATCATCAGCCAGAGCCCAGTGTCCTCAACCCTGAAATCTGTAAAGGAAGCAACACCCCACCCCATAGGCCCTCCTTCCTCTCCCTTTCACCCCGCCTCTCTGTTCAAAAACAGCCCAGCCAAAAGGAGCCTGCAGACAGCCCCGTGCTCATTTCCAAAAGCTGCTACCAAGATCCTCCCAAGATGAAGGGCTTCTACTTCCTCCTGTTCACCATCAGCTTCCTGATTATGATTCAGGTAAGAGCAGCGCCCAGCCCTTGGCACCACTGCCCGAGATTCACCGGACCTGCCTGCATTGGAGGAAGGGACACAGACCCCTGGGCACCCCGTCTTCTCCCGTGGGAACAGGCAGAAAGGCTCCAGCAGGCAAACCGAGGACGAAGGGGGTGTGGCTCAGGCTGTGTTCAGACTACCTGAGGCTGCCCCCGGACAGAAGCCTGTCACTGAGGCTGGGAGCACGCTCAGGGTGCCAGGAACACGGAAGCACCCAAGGGGCGCTGTGGAATCAGGGTGAATTTAGAGGCCTGGGAAGACACCCCCGAGTGAGGGTGGCATCAACCCACAAGGAACCTGGGGCAATGGTCTTATTAGAAGGGGCCAGGAAACGTTTGTGTGGAACCTGACCCTTTCTGGAGGTGGCAGGGAACCCCCAGGGAGAGGAGCCTCGGTGTTCTGAATGTAGAGAAGGTAGAAATCACCCACTCCAGAAACAGGCGAAGTCTCAAAAGCAGCTGCTATTCCTGGAGGCAGCTTCAGCAGCATCCCATGCCCAGAGGGCTCCAGTCAGCGTAAGAGCTGGGAGCCATCAAGTTCTTGATCAAGAGCAGCTTGATCAAGCATCAAGAACAGCTTGAGCACCATCAAAAACAGCTTAATCTCCATCAAGAGCAACTTTAGCGGCAGCTTGGTCAAGCATTGAGAACAGTGTGATCACCATCTGGCCATGTCCTCAGGGAGGAAATTGTACTCTCTCCATCTTTCCATCCACCCACCCACACTTTGCCAGGTGCCTTCCCATGTCACCCCCCCCCCCCCCCCACCCCCCCACCCCCTGAAACCCCCAC